TTTGTTATACTATGATAGTTATTACATAGCTGCATAAAGCATTTTGATGTCTGCCCTGTTTAAAATACAAATTCCAAAGGACTGTTCATGCGGTGTGTTTATAATAAAAAATTTATAATCATAATACAACTAAGGAACATTTTCAATAGTAATTTTCATGACTAATCATTAAATATATACATTTCTTTGAATATAGACAAATTTACTTTGAAAAATACATAGAGGTAATGTGATCCTCCAAATTGTAAAATGCAAAATCTCTCTGTTTCTACAGTATCCATATTGGTCGATTCCTTGGTCTTTATTTGGTTCTAGTAGTATTTTAAAATCATCTGGCCGCTTTACCCGGCTAAAAGCAACATAAAGTTGACCACTGGGTAAACACTGTTTTTTTTTTTTTCAAATAATATTGCCAACTTTTGTGAAGGTTTGGCCTTGCGCTTTACTTTTAGTAATAGCGAAAGCTAAATCGCAATTGGAAATGAATCCTTATAAATTTAAACAGCATATTAGGATCGGTAGATATTAGTTTTATTTTTGGCATGAAAAATATGTTTCCTTTGCCTACTCCAGTAATTCCTTCTAACTTTACACTTTTTCAGACATGCCTAACACAACCAATCGTACTCCATTAACAATTGGGAAAAAGTCTATTTAAGCAATTTATAATAGAAAAGATTACATATAATCTTTGATAATAGTATACACAGTACATATTACAAATTACCATATTCTTTAAATAAAGTTAAACCACATGTTTTAAAGTAAACAAAGCAGACATGACCTAGATTCCCATGCTATTTAAATGTGAATTATTTTATTCTGTAATAACCTTTTGGTGCATAATTAAGAAAAATGAATATTTTTCCCCAAAATTTCATGCCCAGACCTTTAAAATGAGACCTCTCCCAGCTTTCTATGGCCTCCGGTTCGCTCACAATTTCATTGTAAAATTTTGGGCTTACGGAATTAGATATATAGATGATGATAACGATAACTATGATTTTGTTTTGTGAAAACTATTTCACACGTTTCCTATTTGAATGTCAAAAAGATTTAAACACTGTACAGAAAGTTATTTGCTTTGATACTTGGTTTTCCTATCTCAAGGCAAGTCAACAAACCAAATAATACATTTTCTTCTTGTCTTTCATTTAGCGACAAATGACTGGAAACAAAACAATAGAAAGCTGGTTCTTCGGAAAAAAATACCACTTTTTTTCATCTGAAATGCTCAAAGGATGGGAAGTACAGTAAATAATAGCCAGGGATCCATTTGAGCCGATTGCTCCAAACCCATCATTACGGCCCCGGGCCCTCTGTTGGAGTCTTTCAATGCTTATTTCTGGCATTGCGACATCTAATGACGCTATCAGCTGATGCTTCGCGTGTCAGTTGTGTAGTAGCGCGTAGCGTGAGGATGTTCTATGCCTCGTATTGTGTTGTGTTGTGGCTAGAGGTGTTCCTCTATGGCCCAGGCCGTTCAACCAATGCACTTACGTCTTTAAGTTATTAACATGATTGTTCTATTAACACTAAGTGTAGTGTTTCAACGGGTTCAACACCAATTTGGAGTGTTAAATTAGAGTTTGTTAAATGATCGTTTCGTTACATGCTTTGACACCTTTTTATGTGATTTAAATTTAACTTGTGTTGTTACAACGTCCAACTAGTTGTTATGGCAAATTAGGAAATCAATGTATAAATAAATGCATTTGTTAGTTATAAACACGAAAGGTTATTTCTTTAAAGCATTTGAAGTATTTGCATTTTGCCTTAAAGAATAATTAATTTGTTTTTTTCATATCCTCAGAGTAAATTTTAAATTTTACAATAGCTATCAAAATCTTTGGTTGTTTGCACTGTGATTAATAATTCCCATAAATTGTATCTATCGAAACGGAAAGTAAAAATGTATTATTCTAATTATTTACAAAGTTATAAATTAATTGCAATGATCGGTAGTCAAATATAGTATTTCTGTGCTTACATCAGTTTTGTAATAAGTTATTGCTGTCGTACCCACAGAATAAATAATCCTTTTTACAAAAATAATTGTATTATGTTTCTCTTTACCCCGAAATCAGGAACGTGCGAGGCTAAAGACGTTTGACTGCATTTTTAAACAAACCACCAAGTACACACTAACCAACCCAAAATGTCGATATGTGCCAAGGTCCTGGTGTGCAATCGACTACATCAATGTATAGAGTGTACAGTACACACTGTGCAGTATTGTCTGGCATGTGGACCACATTCCTGGAGATGGACGATATGTGGAGATGAGACGCAGGATGCAGGCAGGACGTGACCTGACGGCGCGGTGTCCTTGGACAGGATCGTGCAGGATCAACAGCTGATATCCCGCCTTTATTCCCACGCCGCCGAATACCGATGGTATGGGTGTATAAAGTGCATTTTACCGAAACCCAGGTGCAGGTGATAGGTTCTATAACTGTACAGCCATTATTGGTGGTATTGACGAGCTGTCACCAGGTTTCGGTTGAGAAAATCAAAAGTGCATTAAGCGAATAGATTTGTTGATGAACATGACATCATTACGGGAACAATTCACGGGAACAATATCAAAACAATTCACTTGGGGTGTGTTGCTATTTGCTTCGCTTATATGTAAAGCTAGCAACCAAAAATCTGCTGTACTGGTTGAGTCTCGGACTTCTGTGCGGGTTTGATCTCCAGTTAATACACAGTAATTAAAGGGATTTTGACCTTTTTCCCTTACGTACGTTCGCAATTATTTAACAATGTCATAGAAGTTTCCTCCAGCCAACTAACACAGATTATGCCTACACATTGTTCAAATGCAAAAGTATACTGATTGAAATTACATAAGGCTTTACTGTACTTTAAGTTTAATTTACGCTCTCATACTTATCCAAGGATTACCCACAGATAACGCTTTTTTATATTCGAGTAAAGTATAGCTTATACACACTTTTTTCTGCAACACAAAACGCATTGTATTAGATGCACATGTGTTGTGCTAGTCTGGTAGGTGAGACAGAGATGCTCACAAGGTCGGTGGTCCAGACACTGCTACAGACAGTAACCAACCTGTAGCCAGTGGGTTCCCACGGCGTTCGAGATGGTCTCCCTGACTATTAAAATAACCATCAAAAACAACGACCCACGTGCTCGGGTTCGCATTACTTTAGCCTCTCGCAAATCACGCAAACCATGGAAGAAATGATAGAAGTACAGTATATTAGTCTCCGTATCAAGTAACGCTTCTGTGTGGAGTGGGAGGAACGCCTTTATGAGACATCTGATCTAGAAACTTTAATGCCCGATACACTGAACGCTTCGCTGATATGATTTTATCGAAACAGCAATGCCTTGTGGTCTGTGAATTAAACAAGTAGTAATCTGTGAATCACTGCTACGAAAATAATAAAATAATAAGAATAGCATTTAAATTATTTTATGCATGTCTTTTAATTTGTGTAGACCTTCTTTATCCCAAGTGCTCTTTGCTTTCTATATGTGCTCAGTTCGCACGAACACAAAGCATTCTTGTCTAGACTCGAGTTTTGAATCCTGACTCAGAGTCAACAGGTCTGGTTGTCTGACTGCCAAGACGTAGCTCTGGACTTTCATACTGATAAGTGCTGTGAGTCATGGTTATGTCCACAGCACCAAACCAGCAAGCCAGTAGGGCTTTTGCTTCCAAAACAGAAATACTTTACAGTACTTTCCTGCTCTAACTATTTTAGTAATCGAGAATATTCCAATTTTATTTGACATTTCAAAATAACAAGTAGCTAATAGTTGCAGTTTTTCTGCTGTTTTGTTACAATAGCAAAAAGTATTCACGTATTTGCAATAAAATAGTATCTTATGCTGTAAAGTAACAAAACAGCATAACCTAGGAATATTTTCTAAAATATCTTATCACTAACCAGAAGCACGAGCGTATCTATCACAAAAAGGTGTCCGGTAGCGGGTCTAGACTGTTGTACAGAAGACACGTGTATACACGTGATCATTGTGGGACACTCGTCAACCGACATCTCTGCTTGTGCTTACCCGGGTGGCGACGGGTTTGAACGTTTCTCTTCTGATTTACAACAGCTTAAGATTAGACCCGACCTTGACACAGTTTTGGTCCTCTGGGCCGGATTTTCTTCGCTTTATTCTTGACTAATCGATAGAGAGGTCTAGTTGTCTAATTATTTAGTAATTGTATATAATAATCTAGTTTTGTATACTTTACTGTACAGTGTTTTACGGTATTAAACATGTCTTTTGTCATAATCTTTGTGTATTAAAACTTTGTTTTATCTATGATAAAACTGATTTGATTTGATGATTTCAGAGCGTATACCATAGGTCTCATGTGACCCGTTGACCATTGCGTATTACACTACAGTATTTAATTCCTGCATGAAGAAGAGTGTACTGCACAATGAATACTAGGCTCTTTCACCTCTCTCAAAAATGAAATTAACAAAAAACATTCTCTCTACACAAATAATTACCTCACAGATAAAAGGATGTTTGGTAGCTACCTGATAGTTCAAATGATTGTGTGCTGATTAACTGATCTGTCTGAACTGACAGACTATCCAACGTATATCAAACATCTATACATACAGAACAGATATTTTTGTATCAGTCGATCAAACCCGTTGGATGTGTACAGAACAAGTACGACAAGTCCAGCTTTTTACGCCGATTCAGTCGTAGTTGGAAACCAGGACTAGATATCGAGATAGATGTCAAGTCAAACCTGGGATACGAGCAAGTTCCGACATGCTCTGAAGCGTTAAAAGTGTCAGACGACAATTATGCCGAAAAAGGAATAGCAGACTAGCCATTAAGAGAGAAGAGCTATGTTCCCATTGTTGTATCAAGGGAGGCGAGGTAGGGGAGGCAAGGTCAACAAAGGCCGTGCTAGTGGAGGGGGGAGAGGGGCACCAGCGACAGGCAAGTCAGCTGTTCTGTTTTTCCAACAGTCAGTCAGTCAGTCTTGTCTTCGGGAGCCGATAACGCCGTAGTGTGTATTGTCCGTCCTCTCCGTCTCTTAGTTTTACCCACATCTTCCTGTGAGGTTATGCAATTTTGACTGAGTGTTTTGTGACTTTGTTTGTACAATGGTTCGTAGTTTCGCGCAGTGGACGAAGACTCTGAGTTTTCCAGCACGCTTGTCTCCTCAGAAGCAATCTACCCCGAGTATTCTGCCGGACAAAAATGCTACCCCAATCTCAATAACTCCAGACGTAAGTAGGCTAACTGTTACATTGTAATTATATTATTTACTTTTATACAATAAAATAGTACGTAAGTGAAAAATAGTGCCAAACCCCTGTTACAGTATTGATCCCGAGGCCTCGGGGGTGTGTTCGAATGGATGGGGTCGTATAAGGGAGTTTACATTACTAGTAGTTTGCTACTAGTACTTTGCTTACTAGCTTACTACTTTGCTTACTAGTACTTTACTAGTGTACTAGTACTTTCACATAGTTTTAATTTGTTTAATTTTGTTAACCAAATTTAATGAATTGGTACATATTGGTATTTTGTTTTTCGAACCCAAAGATTTGGTTTATACTTACCAAAGTGTCATTTTAATGCAATGTAATAAAACACTCGTTTGTTAGTACTGGTAGAATGTTTCTATGTTGATATACCTATGATGATATCACCAACGTTTCTGGAAGATTAAAAACATTGCATGACATGGTAAAGTATTTACTACTTTACCGATGTCATGACTCTTTATTTGTGAGAAAAAATTTTCAATGTAAAACAATGAAACTTATCTAACTTACGTGAGGAGCTGAAACCCTTATCTTTACTTAACTCTATAAAACAATAAGCTCACATGAGAGGGTTAAATTAAATTTTAAAAATGCGGAAATCCGCAGTACGTAGGCCTAACTTATCATTGAATTGTTCTGAGAAGCCTGAGTCACACATGTACATCCAAACACCTAAATAGTCTGTAACCGTTGTCCTGGTTTATATCGTTGGTCCTGGCTCGCGACTCCTACCCCTCTACTCTTTATCAGTTTATCCACAGAAAATGTACTAAGTAGTACGTTTTCTGTGGTTTATCGCACATATCCCGTATCACTTCCCTGAGAACGGAATCCAGCCATAGCAACCAGGCCGTAGCAAGAAGACACCCGATACAGGGACTAGAGGGTAGAGGCAGGACAGCGTTGTACACTTGCACTTTCTCCTGGTCGTCTCTAGGCCTTCAGCCTCACGACATTACAGAAGTGACGCAATCATGTGCAATACAATCTGCACAAGTCGAGCCTCTGCACACTACAGTATGACGAATTCTTGTTGTAATAAGACGCTGACGTGACTGTGTATCTATGCGCTGCGAGACTATCTGAGTGTTCGGAAATAATACCATCAACTGGCCATGATGACATCTTGCTGTTATTCTTGTATATCACCGCATGGTAAGCTCTTTTATCAGCTCATTACAAAATTACATGACACACTAATTACCAATTTCGTATTTTAAGCGAATACACCTTGGTGTACTGTAAAACTTGAACCATTTATCGTTTTCGAATATGTGTTTTTGTGTTAACTACGGAACACAACTCGAATATTTATCATTCTAAATAATGGCATGATATTAATGGCTTTTTCTAAAAATACTATTTTTAATAATTTTATCATAAATGCTTCTTTTTAGTTACTCTGTATAAGCATTTAATCAGTTTAACACTGTTAAACATTAGTTTTACTGAGGATATGGCCTAGTTGAATTATTTAAGACGTTATATTATTTCAATCGGTGTTTGTGTTCAGAATTAATGGGACTTAACAGTATTGTTGCAAGCACTGAAGCACTACAGACGCTATCAAACCAAATTTGGGCACACACGTGAATATAGGATACAGGCAACACATCACAAAACTCTATTGTTATTGACACCAACGTTATTTTACAGTGGGTTGGATGAGTAACAACACAGTACGGTAACTCGCATTCATCTACTAGATGCCCAAACAAACTCAGTAATAAAACTAGAGCGATCAAGGGGAGGGGGCTTTCATGGCTTATCTTGTAATAAAGTTTTTTTTGGGATTAATTTAGTTCAATGAGCTAATTATAATAATCGTTTTACGACTGAAACGTTGGACATATTGAAGACACTTTTATTACCAAAGAGATTGTGTACTTTCTTGATTTTGGTGACGTTGCGACAGTTCATTCAATCTCGTATCGATCAGTTTTATTGGCCAAGTCGTAAACTATATACAGTATCCTACCAATGAGCCAGAACTCTCTCGCGCGGTTCACCTTAGTCTTATCTGAGTTCATACGGCTCACCTAAGTTGATTATCTGCTGCCAGAGGGGTAACCCTGACCTTATCTAATTGAGCTTGATTGGACGATAATATTCCCATGTGAGCGAAGGGGTCGCTACTGTAGTGTAACAAGACGCCATGTGTCCGCCGGAAGTGGTGGTCCTGGACCGGAAGTCCTGAGCACGGGCGGAACGGCGGAACTGAAAGGCACGCGTCGTCGGATATACGGGCGAAGAACGAAGAACATGAACATGCTTGGAGTAGACTAGAGTGTAGTAGACATACAACAACTTCTCGCTCAATCAGTTTCACCGCGAACCAGATTAAAACAAGGGCTCGAACTTGAAGTTGATTACATAGTAGCCTATAATGTTACGGCGGTTACGGCGCGGCGTCGGCGTTGCAGCGTATTTACAAAAATCGGCAAATCAACAACACCAAGAGCGTTACTTACTCGGCACCCTGCATTTTGACATTTTATTTTTGATTCGGTCGTTCAAGTCAATGAAGAAACGGCATCACAAAGATGGAAGAACAAAAGTGGAAACAATAGATGATTTGAAAGCAAACTAACAGGTGAGGCCGGCCTATGTATAACTGTCACTGTCGGGTCGGCCAGAAATACCTGCGGCGGCAATACCGTCACAAGGCGGAGAAAGAGATGTTATGGCTGTCAAACGATCGTCGACCACACACACACACACACACACACCAACACACATACGTGCATGCGTACCACACAAAGACCGGCATCACGATAATAACTTGTACCTCTTCCAATGACTAATTGGCCGGAACAGGACGGAATATTAGTTGATGCTCTTTGAAACGAATGGGTCTATATCTGAGCCCCCAGACGGAGATGGACGATAAATTTGCTTTAGTGTACGTTATGTGACATGATGTTATATAAAAACTTTCCTAATTTCTTATACATTTTTGGATTTTCTAAGAGACAATTTATAATGGCTTTAAGTGAGCGGTTGTACGTTTTCGGTAGTACTTATGGCCATCCTCCATTAAAATCTAACTTCAGTCATTTGCTCTCAGGCAGGATTCGGACATTATACAGTTAAAAACAATTGCAATAGAATAAAGAATCGTAGAATAAATAAACATTATTTTTACAGTATGCAAGGTAGGATGATGATGATAATAATAATTTAAGTCATAAGTGTACAATAATGACTGACATTTTCGCGCGCACTGCTAGTGATGGCTGATTGGTGACCTCTTTACTTGAATGTCACTTCGTCAGCACTCAGCAGTTGGCGTGGGAAGGGAAGCCCTGTGGAGTTATCAGCTGTCGTTGTCCATTGTTGTGATCATACAGCTGTTTTGTTTGGTTTTACGACAATGTGCAACGAACGACGAACGGTTTGGGTTGTTTCTGCATACTACCGTTGTACATGCTTGAGTTGAAGTTCCCACTGCAGCTTGCGTGTTGGCCTCAAGAACATAAATAACTAAAGGCCCGTTTTGCCAGAAGCGTCTGGTGCGTCTGACGCTCAGCGATGATCGCTAGAGTGATAATCGCTCAGCGTCTATCGCACGGGCCTATTTTGCCAGAAGCGTCTGTTCCTTGCGATTATTTGATCAGTAAGTGGTTTACTTTGGTGGCAAAAGGAGTATCTTTGAAAATGACCTGTAAAAAGCAAATAGTAAAGTATTTGTTAGCTGAGGAATTAGACGATGATGAGATATTAGAAATGTTGTGCAAACCTAGGGAAGAAGTGCGTACTATGTTTTTAAAGAGGCCTGAAGAGGGATATTTTAAATTAATATTTGAAAATCAATTAACAATTGACTTAACAGTCGTGTGCTGAAATGGCTTCAATCAGTTTTTCATCTTCTTCACTATTGAATCCCCACTTTGTTTGTGACATGTCACTAAACTTGAAAACACAACTTATTTAGGAAACAAAAGTTAAGTCAACAACTAAACACGTGCTTATTCCAGTAATAATCGCTAGCGACTGCGTCTCCGTCTGCTCCAGGAGCAGTGGTCCGCGTCAGACGCTTGCGTCTCAGTTACAGACGCTGGCGGCTGTAGCGATAGACGCTTCTGGCAAAATGGACTAACCTAAAACAATGATAAGCAGTGGGCAGCGATTGACGCGGAGCGATAGACGCTGAGCGTCAGACGCACGAGACGCTTCTGGCAAAACGGACCTTAAATTAGGCTTCCCGCTAGCGTGCGTTGCTTACAGCCACTGGTACACTACAACGACTTATTATACGGGGTGTTTTTTTTAACGTAACACAAATTACAAGTACTAATAGACACTGTTTAAAGACAAAACCAGCTCACATGTTGGTATCACCATATTCTTTATTTCATTGCCAATCAGCTGATATGCATTGTTGCGTAGAACTCAGGCCTAGGCCTATGACATTCCTAGGTATGGTGATAATCTTCGTGCTTAATTTTGGCTGTATCGGTTTAGCATTTTAGTCGTGACAGCTGCCCAGACACTACCTCAATTTTATAATAGTATAGATAAGTCTTAACTTGGCGTTTTCGCAAGCTCTGTTTGGATGCGAAAAAAATCGAAAAACCCCGATATTACGTCTTATTTACAACACACATTATAAATAACCCTATATATTACTTGTACTATGCATATTACCTGGTCGACAATGAAGTAAAGAAATCATAGATACCGTCATATGAGCGGTTTTTTTAAGTGACCTACAGTAGTTGTAATTACAGTATTTACGTTTAAAAACACTCTGTAAACATATGCACACAGCCGTTTACGCAGGGCAGTGCAATACAACAATATCAAACATGCCATTTGTGTTAACATGTTTCTGTCGAACATGTTTTATTATTTTTTTGGTTTTGCGTATTCTGACTGCAATTAGAACAGTCATCGGCTTATCGTAATTCACCACACAAAACAGTATTTGGATGTGTTGAGCTAGCAAACTGCATCAT